CAGCAAGCGGATCTGTTTTTACTACAATGTGGTTTCCATCCAGGACCTTGATTGAGCCCGTGGGAATCGTGCTGCTTACATCGTGCCCTATCCCTGGCGGTCACGGGGGTGTCCCAGCATGCACTGGTGCAGGGCGCCCAGGCGTGGTCTATGGTTCCGAACATCAGCCTGCCCAGCCTTCTACCACGTACCTCAGAGGCCAGAGGCCATGCTGGGCCCAGTGGGGAGAGACCGAGGACAGTGTCCAAGGCAGCCCCCACACCACCTTCCCTGCCCCACCAGACCCGCCCTGACCCTGGGCCAGGCTGGCTGCCCTGCACTCCTCCTGGCATGGTGGGCCGAGCCTGCTCTGCCCCGTGTGGCCAGGCACTCGGACATCCCTCCCACTGGAAGGTTCTGCCTCAATGGCCCTGAAGGAGCAGCTCTGAACCCCGTGCTGGGTAGAGTGCTGGCAAGAGGGTCTCGGCTGCCCCTCACGTGGCCCACACAAGCTCATCTGCTCCAACACAAGGTCGAGGGGCCAAGGCCTATAAACCTGACTATTCTTTAACCGGCAGCTTCACAGGTCAACATGGGAAATACACAGCCAGTCACACAGGCGTTTGATTTTTACCAAACCTGCAGCCATGTGGTGCCTCTGGAGCAGTGACGCTTCCATGGCGGCATCCCCGGCCTACCTCATGCCCTCCGTGGACTGGTGGCGGTGGTTGCGGTAAAGCTGCGGCACGCCCAGCATGGCTTCGGTCAGCACGGCCAGGAAGCCCAGGGTCTCCACAAACAGGGTGGAGTCAATGGACAGGTAGGTGATGTAGCCTGCCACGCCCGTGAAGGCCAGGACGCACTGCACATAGTCCGAGAAGCCGCTCCACTGCCAGAAGTGGTGGGGGTCGAAGTCTAGGGCGAGAGGGAGAAGCAGCCTCAGCACAACTTAGGGTCCAGGTGAGGGGTCATCAGTGAGGAGAGACAGGAACCAAGCAAGAGATCAGAGTCAGAGGAGGAGAGACAGGAACTGAGGGAGAGGTCAAGGCCAGAGGAGAGACGGGAACCAAGAAAGAGATCAGGGTCAGTGAGGAGAGACGGGAACTTGGGAACTGAGTAAGAGGTCAGGGTCAGTGAGGAGAGACGGGAACCGAGGGAGAGGTCAAGGTCAGGGAGGAGAGACGGGGACCCACTGAGAGGTCAAGGTCAGGGAGACGGGAACCCAGCGAGAGGTCAGGGTCAGAGGAGCCATGTAATCTTGATCACACCCCCCTGAAAGAGCCTTGGTACAAATATTAACTCAAAGTAAAAGATGCTGACGTCAGGACAGGTGCAGTGGGCACCTATAGTCCCAGCTATTCGGGGGCCGAGGAGGGAGGATCACTTGAGCCCAGGAGTTGAGGCCAGCTTAGGCAACACAGAGACACTTGTCTCTTAAAAAAAAAAAAAAAGCTAAAATTCTTCAAATCAATCTTAATCTCTGAGAAGCGGGACAGTGCAGGGAGTGCCCTGCACTGGAATCTGAGGCCTGGGTTGGGGTGCAGCCCCCCTCGGGTTAACTACGGTCTCCTGTTCCTCAGATGTTACCGGGAAGAGACAGGGACCACCCCTAGGACATTCTGGGGATTCAACGAGTTGACCTTGAGTTCTACAACACGCCTCAGGCAGTGAGGCTCAGTAAATCCGAACCGTATCCCTCCTGCACGATGTCATTTGCTAGATGATGTATTCTGTAGAAAATACACTCATAAGCACTCACAGAAATTAGCAACTTAAAGGAGGCAGGTGGACATGTGCAGTCCGGGGGACACAGCTGCAGGGAAAAGGTGAATGGAGACAAACCTGCCAAGAAGCCTGCAAGGCGTGTGATGTGCCTGCACTTGACCCGTCCTTACAGCACCAGGGCCAGGGCACGGGCTGCACAGGTGGGGTGATGGGAGGTGGTGAAGTCAAGGGAGTTGGGGGTGCTGAGGAGTGAGGTTAGAGGGATTGGGGGGGTTGGAGTGTGGTGAAGTTAGGGGGGCTTGGGGGCATCAGAGGGCAGAGAGGCCAGCGGTGTCGGGGGCTGGCTGCCTGTGGGGCTGGCAGTGCAGTGAGGGCAGGGGTGGCCAGGCTGTGCACCTTCTCCCCGTCCCCCCAGACCCTAGATCTGTACCCCACTTCCGGCTCCACACTCACTCCCTCCGAGTGAGACGCTGCTCAGCATCCGAGCTGGAAAGGGGCCGCACAGGAGGCAAGGCCAGAGGAAGGATGGGCACGGTGTGCAGCACCTCCCAGAACACGGCAGGGCGTGGGCTCACGTGTATTTCATGAAGAAACCCAGCTGCAGTGAGGGGGGCTGAGCAGGATGCCGTGGACGGGGGGCCGTGGGTGGATGGGGGCACCACGGACGGGTGGGTGGTGGATAGGTGGGTGGTGGACGGACACGCAGGGAGACCATGAATGGGCAGGCGGTGGACAGGTGGGCTGTGGACGGGTGGGTGGCGGATGGGCAGGCCATGGACAGGCAGACGGGGGCTGTGGACAGGTGGGGTCATGGATGGGCAGGCGGTGGATGGGCAGGTGGTGGACGGGAGGGCTGTGGACACAGGACACCAGGTGAGGGTTTAAGGGACTTGGGAAAACCACGTCTGAGGTCCATCTGTGGGAGATCTATTTTAGTTTCCCTAGAAAGGAGTCGATCGGCAAATGACTAACAGAAAATCCTCACTAAACAGTTTTTGAGAAAAGAATGAACCTGGACACTTACCTTATACCACATACGAAATTTAACTCAAAACGGATCAAAAACCTAAAAATAAGACCTGAAACTAAAACTCTCAGAAGAAAACATGAAGAAACACTTCAAGACATTGGATGTGTCAATGAATTTTTACCTGTAACACCAAAAGCACAGGCAGCAAAAGAAAAATAAAAGATAAACTGGACTTCATCAAAATCTACAACATGGCCAGGTGCAGTGGCTCACACCTGTCATCCCAGCACCTTGGGAGGATGAGGTGGGAGAATCACTTGAGTCTAGGAGGTCTTGAACATAGTGAGATTCCATCTGTACAAAAACATAAAAAATGAGCAGGGCGTGGTGGTGCGCACCTGTGATCCCAGCTACTTGGGAAGCTGAAGCAGGAGGATCCCTTGAGCCCATGAGTTCAAGGCTGTAGTGAGCCATGGCTGTGCCACTGCACTCCAGCCTGAGTGACAGAGTGGGACCTGGTCTCAAAAAAAAAAAAAAAGGCACTGGCGAGCTTGATCGCACACCCCAAACACCCTCGATTCGTGCATTTACCACTCACGGGCCGGCGGAGGGGCTCCCGAGGGTGGCAGAGGGACAGCAGGGTGAGAGGCACGAGGCAAGGCAGCTGAGATGTGCGGGTTGCAGGTGAGGGCAGATTTCCAAACAGAGCGTGGCCTGGTGCACGGTGGAATATTACTCAGCCACAAAAAGGAAGAAAGGGCAGATTCATGCAACACCACGGATGGACCCTGAAACAGGACACCAAGTGACAGAAGCCAGACGCAGGAACCACACGCTAATGAGTCTGTTCCTACGAAGTGTCCGGCACAGGCGAGTGCACATACAGCAGGTGAGCAGCTGTCGGGGCTGGGGGAAGACGGAACTCGGGGAAAAAGAAGGAAACTGGTTCAAAGGGGTTTCTTTGGGCGTGATGAAAGGCTCCCTAATGAGACAGTGGTGATGGCTGCACAACTCTGTAAATACACTAAAAACCACCAAATTGTGTACTTTTAAATGGTGATAAAATGGTGAATTTTATGTTACGTACATTATATCTCTAATTTTAACAACAAAATAAAAAATTTTAACGTATATGATTTGTCTTATACCGAAAGATGCAGGTATAAGTATCTACTTATTTTATTAATAAGTATCTACTTATTAGTAGATACTTATTCAGCATTTTCTGATGCTGAAGTTGAAAATACTTCCTTCAACTCCAAGTCTAGGAATTAAGGTGCTGTCATTTGTATCCAGGACAATTTGAAATAAATTTAGCAGCCATCTACCATTAGCTGTCAGCTCATATGAGCTGGGGAATTGGAGCAGGTGGCGGGGAGGAGCTGGGTAAGGAAAACGTTGGCTGAAGCTGACCTGGGGTGGCTCAGACAGTGGGAAATAAGATCTCTAAGTTCAGTCTGGAGAAGTCAGAGGACACGGGAGACACCTCGTGGACAAGGAGATTCCTGATCTGTCAGGTGGAAAAGAACATTTTCCACACTTCTGAGAGATTCCTGTGTCAGGAGAGTTTCATTAATAGTTTTTTAAATCAGCGAATAAAGAAGAGAGAGGTGCCTGGCAGTCCTCCCGGAAGAGCTGGCCCTATCCCGAGGGACCCGGGAGGGGAGGGCACTCCCCTTTCCAAAGGAGCCAGGCCCCTGCACTGCTGAGTCCGACAGAAATCCAAGAGGGCAGGTGGCTGCGGGAGAGGAGGGGCTCTGAGAACAAGAACAAAAGGGCAAGAACGCAATTAGGACGCACACCCATGGCCACGCAAGGTGCTGAGAGAACAGCTGACAGTCGGCAGTGCAGACTCACACACTGTGACTTCCTGAGATGTGTTTCTAGATAGCGGTACCAAAGATAAGGCTTGAAAATGAGGCATTTAATGCTGAACAAATGTTTCCAGGCCTGGGGGGCTCACCAGAGGCCCACCCTGGCATGCACTGAGCTCTTGGGACCCTCAGCTGCCTGCAGGGAACAGCTGATCCTCAGAACCTTCCACCGCATGGCGCGGCTGCCCTCAACTCACAGACAGATCTCTTCCGGCACCCCCCACGGGGAGCCCCGTGGGAACAGACCAGCTCTCAGTCTCCATCAGTCCAACTGCTCCTGGATTAAAAAGCTATTTTACCACTTGGGGAATGTGCACCAGGAGACTGTCTCCTAATGGGCAAGAAAGATCCGATTTCTCATCGGATGGTGTTTTCATGCCCACAGGAGCACATGAGAGAGCCTGGTGTAAGAGGATCTGACAGCCAACGGGTCCAAGACATTGAAGCAAGAGCAACTCCATCGTGAACAGGCGCTGGGTAAGATGAGGCTGAGGCCCACTGGGCTGCGTTCCCAGACAGTCAGGCATTCTTAATCACAGGATGAGACAGGAGGTCGGCACAAGATACAGGTCCTAAAGACCTTGCTGATAAAGCAGCTGGCAGTAAAGACGCTGCTAAAACCCACCAAACCAAGCGGCTAAAACCCACCAAAACCAAGATGGCCACGAGAGTGACCTCTGGTCGTCCTCACTGCTGCACTCACACCAGCGCCGTGACAGTTTACAGATGCTGTGGCAACATCAGGGAGCTACCCTATACGGTCTAAAAACGGAAGCATGAATATTCCACCCCTTGTTTAGCATACCATCGAGAAATCACCATAAAAATGGGCGACCAGCAGCCTTTGGGGTGCTCTGCCTACGAAGGAGCCATTCTCTTATTCCTTTACCTCCCTAATAAACCTGCTTTCACTTTATGGACTCGCCTCAAATTCTTTCTTGCACGAGACCCAAGAGTCCTCTCCTGGGGTCTGGGTGGGGAGCCCTTTCCAGTAACAAACATGAGACGGAAAGAGAATGCTAGAGAGCTTCCTGCTGGGACTGGAACGGCTGGAGGGCATCACAGCACTGGTTCTGAACACTGAACGGAGAACTGCCATGCGGCATGAACCTGGGCGCATCAGACCCCTGCAGGCACCCTCGGGACTCACAGATCACACACTCAGTGGGTGCTCACAGGGCGTGAATGGCGTCTCAGTAACGCTGAGCTCCACCCCAGAGCCACAGGGTGACTTTCACAGGGCCACGGAGCCTCCTGGGCCACACTGCTCAGGGACGTTCTGGAGGGGAGGAAATTGCTTTTTTTTTTTTTTTTTCAGGGTTCTTGCATGAATTCTAATTGAGACA